GGCGGGGCCGCGGCTTCGCCTGATCTAGGTCCAGGCTGCAGGGCGGGGCTGTGCCCTGCGCTGATACTCCAGGGGCGGGGGGCACGGGGGCTGCCCCGGGGCAGACGGGCCCTGCTGGGACGCTCAGCAGCCGGAGTGCCAGGCCTGCGGTGTGTGTCCTGTTGGGAGGGGAGACGGGGGAGCCGCCCGGGTAGGGGGTCAGCACAGACCGGAGACCCTGGGAGATTGATCCAGGGCAGGGTCACTGCACCAGCCCTTTCCAGGGGGCCCGTTTGCTGCCCCTTCCCTTGGGGAACGTTTCCCCAGCCGGCTCTGGCTCCTGGCCGGGGCAGCCGGACCCCCAGCCCTTCCCCTGGAGGCGATTCCCTGCCGGATCCTGCTCCCTGGGAGCTGCAGCTTGAATTTTCCCAGTGCCCCGGCTGTGTCTGTCCCTCCCCCCCGCCCTGTTTCCCTCCTTGGAGGGCCCCCCCGGGGGACTTGCAGGCTCTGTCTGTGGGGGTGGGGCCCGGCTCATCCTGCCTGCGGGGACAGGGCTGTGCGTGGAAGCCGTGCCGGGTTTAGCCGGCTCCCAGGTGAGGGCAGCTCAGGGCGCGGCGGCAGGGCAGCCCCCGCCTGGCTGCGGCAGAGGGGCGCTTTGCTCCAGGCCGTTGGGCCAGACCCCTCCCGCCAGCTGCTTCCTGGCCACTGTGTGGCTGAGTCATCGGCTGCTGCTGGGCTGAGGGAAGCAGCAAGGGGGGGGGACGCCCACCAGGCCCGTGTTGTGCCCCCTCCCCAGCTCCTGACGCTGCTGCTGTGAGGGGGCAGAAGGGAGTGGGCTGGGCTGGCAGCTTCTGCGGCGAGCGGCAGCTGGTGCGTTGTAACTGCCCCTCCCCATCCCTGCGTCAGGCCCCCCCTCGTGCTGGGCCCGCAGGCTACCGAGTGACGCGGCATGTGTGGGCCAGGCCTTGGGAGCAGCCCTGCAGCGACCCCGAGCCTGGCTCCCCTCCGAGGTCCAAACCCTCTGTGTCCCCACGTCTCTCCCCAGCCCCCGGCCTGCTCTGGCTTCCGCATCTGTGTCCTGTCCCCTCTTCCCACCCGCCCTTCCCTGCAGCTTCATGTGCTCCCCCTTTCCAAGCCCGGGCCTGCCCTCCGCCAGCATCTCCCCACACCGCCCCTTGGGGCAGGCCCTGTCCAGCCTGCCTGGCGGTGCCTTGGGCACACTGGGGCATGTCTCGTCTTGGCCCTGCGGGGAGATTTGGGGGTTGAGCCCCCCAGGGCCAGCCACAGGCCTGATGCCCCCCCTGTCGCCAGTCCTGCTGGGGGGATGGTTCTCACGCCCTTAGTTTCTCTTTCGCCTTCTGCCCTGTACTGACCTCCCCAGCCTCGGGGGCAGCGGGGGCTCTTGAGCCGTCTAACCCTGGGTTGGGCTGAGCCCTGGAGACCATCCTGCCTTGGGGCCTCGGACACTGGGGCCCCCCTCGTTGGGCACTGTCACCAATCACCGGGTCAAGGCTCCGCCCCCAGCTTTGGGACCGTCTCTTGGAGGACCCCGTCTGTCTGCCAGACCCCTCCAGGGTCAGCCACGTGCCCTCCTGTGACTGATCCTCTGGGGCTCCAGGCAGCGAGCCCCACCGAGACCGACCCTGGGCAGGGACTTGTCTGCCGCGCAGGGATCCGGGCCCCCCGCCCAGCGGCCAGGAGTCAGGTTTGTTACTCAACTGGACACAGCACAGGGAGGCCTGAGGTCACCCCGGGGAAAGGAAGGGTAAAGCACCGGCCACCCAGGTCAGCCAGAGCCCAGCCACCGTGGTGAGCCCGTCCGTCTCGGTCAGTTCCCTCCCAGGTGAGAGCCCCCAACTCACCCCTCCCCCAGGCCGGCCTTCTCCAGCTGGGGGATTGTGCCCCGCTTCCCTGCAGAGAGGTGGGACGGACACACACACACACGGACACACACGTGACTGCCTTTGCCGTTGTCGTCCTGGATTCCCCATTGATACTGGGCTGGGCCAGTCCTTGTTAATGCCCCATCCCAGCTCAGGCAGCCAAGTGACATTGACACCCATGTCTCTGAGCCTCCCCGAGAGCAAACCACCCCCTCCGCCTGTAACAGTGCAGGATATCGGGACACGTCCCCTGCGGGACTGAACGGCGCAGGGTCACACTGAGCAGTGACCTGGGGCAGTTTGAACCCACCCATGTTCATCGGTGCCGCAGGATCTTCCCCCTGCCCTCGGTCGCTGTCCCGCCCGGCGCTTCCAGGCCTCTCGCAGCCCCATTGCTAATCACTGACCCCTACGCCGCTCAGAGCAGGGTCACGTCCCCCCTCCGGTCAGTCTGGCCCATGGCACCAGCAGGGGGCACGGGGGGAGCTTTCATGCAGTCCCCCAGCCCTTTTGCCACCCCAAAACCTTTGGCTTTGGAACTGGGCTGGGGACCTGCCACTGCCCCCCCCTCCGTCTGCCAGAGTGTGAGGGGGCAGCAACCCCCCCCCCCGCTGTCCTGGCTGCAGTGTGCAGGGTCCTTGCCCCTTGGCTGGAGCATTTGGTCTTGCCCCAGTCCTGTCTCCGGGGCTCTGGTGCCCCCGGGGCTGAGGAGGCCGGGGTGCAGGGTGTTCCCCCACATCGGCAGGCCCCCGAACCCCAGGGCTGGGCCTAGGCAAGTCGGGTTAACCTGCTGCTCTCGCCCCCTCTCCTGGTGGGCTGGGATTCGGGGTCTCTTGGGGAGAACCTGCCATGGTCCCCCTCTGACCAGGCCTCGCTGGTACCAGACGCAGCCTCACAGCTGCTTTACCCTTCCCTGTTGCCCCTCCGGTCCGTGTGACCCCTCGGCGGGGTCGGCTGCTCCCCCACCTTCAGGTTTACTTGAATCCTGCTTCTGGGATGCCTGCGCTGGGTCCCTTTCCCTGGACCCCGGCTTAGGCCAGTGCCTTTGGGTCTTTTTATCCCCGGACCTGCTGTCCCCAAACTCCTCTGCCAGCTGGCCGGCCGGCCCTGCCAGACCCTCGGGCTTCCTGGCCACATGCTCAGCTCGTGGGGACGGATCTCCGAGCTGCTCCAGCCCAGCCAGGTTACGCTGCTCCTCCGGCGCGGTGACCCCCCCACCCTGACCCTGTGTGCAGAGAGATTCTCCCAGCAGGGTCGGGGCTCACATCTTCGCACACCCCAAATCCGTTCCCCATATGCCCCAGGGGTCCATTCCAACCTAAGCACGGAGCCTTTGTGATCAGCTCCTAGTCCCCTGTCTCCACCCGTCCGTCTGGCCGTGCACCCCAAGTCGGGGGAGAGACAGCAGAGCCCATCCGCAGGGTCAGCCTGGTTCAGAGCACAAGCCACTGAGGTCGGTATCGAAATCTCCCCCCTTAAACTGGGGCAGCAGTTCAGTATCTAGGCTCCCTGCGGAACGGGTATCCCGGGGCCTTTCCTCGGTGGGGCCTCTTGCCCCTCGGCTGCTCCAGCCCCAGTTCAGGCTTTTGCTGGTTCTCTTGGTTCTTCCGCCGTTCTCCCTCATGCTTTCACTGCTTCTCGCGGTCAGCGAGCTCCTCCGCTTCAGCACTCACCGCTTCAAATCTATCAGTGGGGAGCCTGGTCCTGAGGACACCCGGCTGCTGCCTCTGTCGCTCTCGGATCCTCCTGGAACCTGCTTTTGGACTAATGCGCCTTGTTGAGCTTCCCCACGCATAACCATCTCCCTGCACAGGTTTACGATGCCCTTCTTAGGGAGGTGGTTATAGGCCATTTCCTTTGACTACCCTTGTTTTACTGCTGCAAGTCCCTTATTGCAAAACACTGCTAGTGCATTCAGCATCCCACTTCTGCCACCAACAGTCATGGATCCACAGGATCAGTGCTGCGCCCCCAGCTTCGGAACAGTCTCTTGGAGGAACCCCTTCCATGCGCCAGACCCCTTGGGGGTCTCATTCTTCCTTCAGGGTAAGCCTTGCGGCCTCACCGGCTCCTGAGACTGACCCTCTGGGGGTCCCGCCCTCCTGCTTCACGCTGAGCTCTGTTCAGTGAGTCCCACTGAGGCAGACGCTGTCCACTCTGCGGCGGTTAATGCACCGCAGCCAGTGTTTGCAGTGACACTCAGGCAGCGGATGTCGGCACAGTCGGGTGGGTGTATTAGTTAGCCGGGACACAGCACAGGCTGTCTTTGGGCTCTGCTTTAACCTTCAGTTCTCTGTGCTCCCCTAAGTCCATCCTGGTCAGCCCAGAGCCCAGCCCAGCTCTGTCTGTGTCTCCATCTCACCTCCCTGGCCAGGTCCCAGGTGAGAGCCCCTGACTGCTTCCAGCAGCCGGCTCGTCTCCCCACCTTGCCAGCCCTTTGTCGGGGGGATAGTGCCCCGCCTCCCCACTGAGAGGTGGGGAAATCCCCCCCCCCATGCTGGTTGCTGGGGGTGAATGTCCTGGTGACTGGATTTGCCGTTATCCTCGGGGATTCTCCATTGATTTGGGGTTGGCCTGGGTCAGTCCTTTGTGATGACTAAGGCTAAGATTTAGTCAGGGCCAGGTCGTGGGCAATAAACGTGAATTCACAGAAGCCCGTGACCTGCCCCTGACTTTCACTAGACATAGCCCTGACAAATGGGGAGGGAGGAGGGTTCAGCACCCCCCACTGCTCGGCTCCAGGGTGCCCCCACTCCTGCTGTGGTGAGTGGGGGCTCCAGCTTTGGGGTCCCCCCAGCAGGGCGGGGTCTGGAAGCTGCGGGGGGGGGCAGCTGGGAGCTCCTGGGTCCCCCTGCTGTCCAGCTGTGGGCAGGGGCAGAAGGTGTCACGGAGGTTGCTGGAATCACAGATTCCGTGATCTCCGTGACATAATCGTGACCTTAGTGATGACCCACCCTGGCTCAGAAGGCTGGGGGCACCCACACCTGTCTCTTAGCTTGCCCTGAGCACAAACAGTCCATCCCCCCCCCCCCCCCACTGGATAACAATGCAGCATATAGGGGAAACTGAGGCATACATAAGGGTCATAAACATTTCCCACTTTGTCACAGGCACCTAGTGAAGTGGGGGGGGGGGCAGCATGCCGTGTGCCAGCTGCAGTGCATGTTGGAGGTGGAGTCCCTGTGGGTTGTGGGGGGGGGTCCTGCCCCTGGAGGGCCCCCCCGTTCCCTCCCTGCATGCTGGCTGTTTGTTTGGGGGGGGTGCTAACTGTCCCCGTGTCTGTCCCAGGCTGCCTGTTCGACAGGAGACTCTGCTCCCAGCAGGAGGTCTGTGTGCAGGGTAAGTGACCTGGGGGCAGCCCCAGCTCCGGCTCGGTGTGGGGGAAAGGGGGCAGGAGCTGGGAACGGTGCCCTCTGGCTCGGCGGGGTGAGGCTGAGTCCTGCCAGGACCTGGGACCTTGCTGTGGTGATGCCCCAGCAGTGAAAGGCGACGCCGGGGGGAGCTGCCGAGGCTGGAGCACCTGCTGTGGGGGGGGACTTAGGGGGCAGGTGGAAGACGGGTTTGGGAGGGGTAAAGCTCCCCTCCTCCACCAGTGACTTTGGGCTGCCCTGGCACGTGCTGATCTTTGGGCCCGTGCTGGCTGCAGTGTCCCCTTCCAGAGCTGCCCCTGCCCCCCGGGCGGCCGGTGGCTGCTCCATAGCAGGGTGAATGAGGGGGGGAACCAGGGGCCCGTCCCACAGCCTCTCCCCCCCCACCCCCGGCCTGGCCTGCGGGAGCTGAGCTCGCTGCCCCGTGGCTCCTCTGGGCCCAGCGCTGAGCCCCCAGGCTGGCACCGTCTCTGCTCTGCTCCTAGATGGCTTGTTTGGGCAGTGCCAGGAGAGCGCGGCCCGCGACAGGCCCTACTTCCAGGTCACCTCGCCAGTGCTCCAGCGCCTGCAGGATGTGCTGCACCGCCTCACGGCCCAAGGTGAGCCCCGGTGGGGGGGGCTGGGCACCCACGGGCTGGGCTGGGAGCAGGTTGGGACCCAGGTGGTCCCGGTGGGTGGGGTTCAGCCCCTCCCTGGGCCAGGGGCAGGTCAGCCCGTGAGGTCGGTCCCGCAGCAGTGCCACCGGTGCCCTGCCAGGATGGCCGGTTTCCTCTCGCCATGGCAATGGCGCCTAGCGTCTCCGTGGGAACTGGCTCCCGCCCCTTCGTATCTGTGCTCTGATTGGCTGCCTCTCTCCCCGTGGACAGGGTTGTCGTGGCAGGATGACATCACACAGTACGTGATCTCCCAGGAGATGGAGCGAATTCCCAGGCTGCATCCGCCCCCTGCACGGGAGCCAGCGGCCAAGGAGAGGTAGGGCCGGGTTGGGCTGCCTGTCCGTCCGTCTGGCCATCCCCAGAGGCACCCCAGAGCCTGTGCCACCCTCCTCCCAGCAGCTCCCACCCCACACGCTGTCCTACCAGGGTGGCACGCAGGGCGCAGATGGGTGTCGGGTGCCCGTTCTGGCTGGGGCGTCTCCCCATTGGTAGGCCTTGGGCCAGCCACCTTGCCCGCTGCGGCTGAGTGAGCTGCTGGCACCCGCTTGCCTCTGGGCAGAGCTAGGCACTGCAGGGCATCTGTGATGGGAGCGTCTGGCTTACCCCAGCTGGCCCCTGCAGGGAGCAGGCCCCGGGGCTCCCCCAACCCCTGCTGCCCAGGGCCACACCCAGAATTCAAAGAGGTAGCTCCTCTCCTGCACCCCACAGCAGCTTCCTGTGTGACCCCGGGAGCTGGCTGGTCGGGCAGGGGAGCCCCGAGGGCGCTCAGGCTGGACCCTGCTGTGACGGGTTGCATTTCTTCCCCCCCCCCCGTCCCCATCCCCGGAGTGCCACCTGATGTACTGGAGTGCCACTGAGCCCACTCGTTCCACTAGCCTGGGCTCCCTCGCCCCGTCCTGCTGTGCCAGGCCCTCAAACCCCCTCCACACACACACAGGTAGGGACATGCCCAGCTGTAGAAAGACACAGACACTGAGATCAGCTCTGCATGGGACGAATCAGCTAGGGGATTGCCCAGTACTGCACCCCAAAATTGTATTGTCTTGCACTGCACAGAAATCTGTACAGCGTAAGCTCATGAAAATCACCCGTCCTCAATGTGGAGGAAGATATGCACAGCTTCCCCCCCCCCCCCCAGTTATGAATTGCACAAACTGGTTTAAAGAAAACAAAACAAGTTGATTAGCTACAAAAGATAGATTGTAAGTGATTATAAGAGATAGCAAATAGATTCATAGATTCTAGGACTGGAAGGGACCTCGAGAGGTCATCGAGTCCAGTCCCCTGCCCTCATGGCAGGACCAAATACTGTCTAGACCATCCC